TCATTAAATGCTACTCCTATCCCGTGCATTTTCATTGGGCTACTGATATATGTTCATAAAACTTATCGGTTTTTTATTTTTTTTGTTTTTCACCTTCTCCTTATTTTTAAATATAAGATAATACGAGTATTTATTGAACTATCCCATCAAAATTTTATTATAATGCACGGATCAATATCTAATCTAATTATTCAATTTAACATGAAAATATATGTATGGCTTACTTCTTATTTTTACCCTTTTCTCTCTCTTTATTTTTACATCATCTCTTTAAATATATTATCTACAATCTACATTATTATCAAAACTGAAGAAAACCAAATAACACAAACAAGATTTTTAAGAAGAGTAAGAATTAAAATTGTAAAATAATGAACAAGAAGAGGAAAATATATGCATGCTAATAATCTAACATAGTATAACTTTGTTACCTAATAATCTACAACCGATATTTTCATACTGGACATCATTATGTTAAATTGTTAATTTATTATTAGTATCACATCTAATAATGATTTTATTAATTTACTTTTAATAAAATATAAGCGGTGTGCGTGCGTGCGCCAGAGTTGGGGATGGTGGTGAGCCTCTAAAGAGAAATTGAAAGTGACATGAGTAATTAATTATCATGGTAGGTCACTCAACTATATATGTTAATAAATAAAATAATCATTTTTGTATTCACTTTTTGCCATCGCTTATGCAATTACCATTTCTGAATTAACATTTCACTGGCCCAAAGAAAAGAAGAATTAACATTTCAATACAATATATTTTATTTTCTTATTTTTGTTGAACAGTATATATAGGGAGAGAAAGTTTGTAACAAGAAAAGGTGTGGAATACACAAGCATGGAATTTATCCTTTGGCATAAAGTCATGGTTTGCTGTGAGGTTCTGATTGAATGGCCATTTGTTGAAGAAGATAGTTTCAAAATACTAAAAGTCCCTTTAATTTTTTTTAGTAGAATTATGATAGATAAAAATAGGAATAGATAAATGATAATTTGGTCCCATAAAATGTGATAACGACAATGAAGTTTTAAGAGACTTCTTCAATATTAAATTTCTGTGTAAAATTATTTTGGCACCCCTCTATGATTTAGAATTTTATGATTTTCTAAATTATTTTAGTTATTAGTGGAATCAAACTTATAAATATTTATACCAAACTTATAAATGACATAAAATTAATTAGACTTTATTGATAGAAAGTAGTATTTTCTGAATTGTTTTAGTTATTGTTGGGATTGCACTTGTGAATGTTTATACCAAACTTGTGAACAATATAAAATTAATTAAACTTTTTTGAATGAAAAAAATTAATAATAGAAAATCATGATTTTAAATCATTTTAGTAATTGGTGGAAATAAATTAACTTTGCAAATACTTATATCAAACTCATGAGCCATGCATATAAAATTACTTGTAGATGTGTATTAAAGTAATTTCACACAAGAAATTTAATCTCAAAAAAGTCCCTTCAAACTTCACTGTCATTATTTTACAAGAATTTCTGCATCATTCTCCGTTTTTTTAATTATAAAGACTTGATCAGAATCATGCTTAGAGGTATATAAAGATTTATATGAACAAAAAGATAGAAGAATTGATAAAAAAAATTATAAATTCAAGGGCTACACCCCCCCCCAAAACCGTGAATATAATGTAATGCAGTCTATTTTTGGTTTGGTTGAAACTATATATATATATATATATATATATATATATAAAACATATTTTGATTTAACACGGTGATTGGCTGAGGAGAGAAAATGTGAAGGAGAGACTATAATAGAGAAAAGTGAAGAATTACACTTTTTTTTAATGCTTGATTGATCAATAGAAAACAAGGAAGAGGGAAAACTTACTAATTTAATATAGACAATGACAAATTTATTATTTGTAGAAAAATGTTTAGATATAATAAAAAACTTAAAATTTTAACACTGGCGAAATAAAAAAAATTGGACAAAGACTAATGGAATAAAAATATAATTGTAAATTATTTTATTTAATTTTAAATTTTATTTATAAAATTATTAAATATAAAATAATCTAAAAATTTAAACTATTTACAATTTTAGAGTAGAGTTTTCTCTGTAAAATTCCTTTTTTTAGAAAGAAAAGTTGGAGAAAAAATATATAGGTCTCGTATATTGTTGTTCCCTTAATTTCCTCTTCTTCATATTTTTCTTTTCTTAGATAATGGAGAAGTGTAATTAGTAGTAGAATGTTTAACACATTTATATAATTATTGAAAAATTGGCTAAACTTTTTTCGAAATCGCTTCAGAAAAAGAGAAGTTCCGATTGGTCAAATTTGATGAAAAGTATTGGTCGGTAATCTGCCTCCTTCCTTTTTCATATTTTTGCATAAAATTACAATCTCACATCTAAAGTAATGCAGTCTAAGAAAAAAGTTAATACTTTTGTTTGCTTGAAAATAAATTGGGAGAAGAAATTACTGCGATATAGTGTCAAAATATTAGAAGATAGGAGGGAAATTTTAAAATACAACAGAGTTAAGTGTAGCTTAGTTAAACATGTAAAATTATTCGTTTATTTATATTATAAATTTTAAAAATGATTGACAAAACAAAATTAGGGATCAACTCGGTTAATTCGTCTTTTTTAAAAGTCAACTTTAACATCCAGTACGCCAAAATTGTTTGAAAAATATATTTAGTAGTTAAATTATCATCATTATTTTAGTGAAAAATGTTTAGTATACCTTGACTTAGTATCATAAAATTTTGTTACTCCTTGATTATTAGCCTTGATGAAAGGACAGTCATAATAAATGATAACTGATCAATATCAAATGCTTTATTACCAATTAACAAAAACTTAGTAAGCATTTGTCTAAAAAATGAAATTATAATTTAAAAAGTTAAACTAAACAATTTAAATTTACATTTATAAATTGTAAGTACCATTAATACATTCGTTTATTGGCCATGTATAAAGACAAAGGAAATTAATGGACATAAAAAAAATATGATGTAGAATTCATATTTATATATGGTTGTATTATTTTATGTACTCTTTTTTAACATATAATAAAAAATTGTAGTATTTATAATCCGTGAATATGTGACTCTACTTTGGCCGTTTGGCGTGTGGCCATAATTTAATTGAAGATCTAACTCCTCTAAATTTAATAATAAGTATGAGAAAACTTCTCTTGCATCCCTGTAGCTTGATATAAACTTCATTACACCCACTCCAGGGGTCAAACCAGAGAACTAAAAAATAAAAGGAAAATTATATGTTTAAATCTTGACAGCATAATTAAATAATATCACAAAGTTGATTGACAACATTAAGATTTGTGTTCAATAAGTACACTTATTCAATGAGTGTTTTGGTTATAACTCTTGAATTTCATTAGTATTTAAAAATTATCAAGATATATTTTCTTTAAAAAAAATTAAAATGAATCCCATGATCAAAACACTTCTTACTCTTACATGTGTTATTCCCTCTAAAAATTGAGTTTTGGTACTTTTTCTTTGTATTATATGGAAAAATCTTTGACGACCATTCAATTAAATCAAGCGATTATTATTGTGCTATGCAAGACGCTCATTGGGTAAATACACTTAAACTACTCACTGAATTCAAATCTGACAACACTGAGCATGATAAAATAAAAATATTTATTTATTTGGGTTTTTGATTAAGTCAAATTCAAGCATTATTTGATTTAATTGAGGATGCATCTTTCAAATATATTTTTTGTATTTATACAAACTTAAATGTGAGATTTCATGTTTAAATATTGTTGGGTAATCCACTCTTGATGGATTGGGTTCAATATGAGCCAATGGAATCTTTATCATAATATAAAGAAGATTTGGGCTCAAAAATGTAATATACTTTGGGTCAAGTGTGCAATTTTTCCTTAATGATTTAAAACTTTAGAGGAGGGAATGGTTTATCATTCACGCATGTACGACCGAAAACTGCAATTGGTGTGGGTGGTTTTAAGAGTTAGATAACTTTCAAGTATTCACAAGAGATTCAGAATTCATTCTCTCGGCCTGTTCTTTCTCTCTGTTTTCTAAGTGGATTTGTTGTGTGTACCTGAACGAAGTTCAACCTTGTGGTTTTATTCTCACATATGTTTGTAAAACTCAACCACTACATGTGTGTATTCCTCCTCAAAAACTTATAAATATGCTCAACTATGCCAATAGACATTGATCGTGATAAAAAAAGGCAATTATTGTTCAAACATAAGGTTTTAAATTCGAGTGATATGAATGTATAAAACTTGTTTGAGAGAGAATTACTCCCAGTTAGGCTTAGCAATGCTTATATATGATTCAATCATGTAGCCATATCAAAAAAGCATGCTGAGTTATAATATATTTTATAATGTTTAATTTAATTGTGTTACGGGGACATGAATTAATTCTTCTAAAGGTAACAACTACTTTTATGTCCTTATTTTTTTAACCCTTAGGGCCAACCACAGCAAGTGAGTTGAATCCTTTCACCTCGAGACACGCCTACAAAAAGCAAAAAGGTTGTAACTTGAATAAAGTGACGAGAGTACCCTTGGGAATTATAACAATTTCTAAATACTCATAATCTCAATTTCAATTTAATGAGCAGTCTAAATATATTTATTTAATAAATGCATAAAATTTTTGAGAGAACTATTTTTAATTGAATCTAACAAAGCTCTGATATGAATTAATTAGATAACCATATGAAAAATATGCTAAGTTAACAATATGCATTTAATTATGTCACAATTCTTCTAAAAATAAAAACTTATTTTTCCCTTTTTGGGCCAACCACAGCAAGTGAGTCGAATTCTTCACCTGGAGACACGCCTACAAAAAGCAAAAAGGCTGTAACTTAAATAAAGTGACGAGAGTACCCTTGGCACTCGCTGGTAACAACAATTTATGAATGCTCATACTCTCCTCTCTCCCCCCTCTCTCCTCTATAAAAGCCAACCCTCTCCGTCCGTCCTTCTTCAGAATCCACTCTTCTTCTTCTTCCTCACTGCCACTGCTCCAACCTTCTTCTTCATTTTCTTCTACAGACCAACAATGGGTCTGAATTCAAACCGGGTCGATCACTTCGATTCTCACCATCCAAGTCTCGTCAAAATCCAAACCGAGTTGGAAATCCACTCGGTTCGCCTCCCTCCTGAGCAAACCACATTCCAGAAGCTCAAACACAGGCTCTCTGAGATCTTCTTCCCCGATGACCCTCTTCACAGCTTCAAGAACCAAACTTGCTTCACCAAACTCATCCTCGCTCTCCAGTTTCTCTTCCCCATTTTGCAGTGGGCCCCTCAATACTCCCTCAACCTCCTCCGTTCTGATACCATCTCTGGCCTCACCATTGCCAGCCTCGCCATTCCTCAGGTCAGTTTCACAGGGCCATGCTAATACTCTGTTTCTGAAACAGATTACATATATATATATATATATATATATTCTCTTTTACTCTGTTGTGATTGAAATTCTGGTGCTTCTTTGTGCAGGGAATAAGCTATGCAAAGCTTGCCAATTTGCCACCCATAATTGGACTGTGTTAGTAATCAGAATCTCTGTAGCTTGATGGCGTGATCGAGTAAGTAAAAAGGGTCCAATAGTTTGCCCTGTGAAGTAACAGTTGAACTGGTATTTGCTTCATGCAGATTCAAGCTTTGTGCCTCCATTGATATACTCTCTGCTTGGGAGTTCTAAGCATCTTGGTGTTGGGCCTGTGTCAATAGCCTCTCTGGTCATGGGGTCAATGTTAAGCGAATCAGTTTCTTTCGCTTCAGATCCAATTCTCTACCTCAAACTCGCTTTCACTGCCACCTTCTTTGCTGGTCTGTTCCAAGCTTCTCTGGGCTTCCTCAGGTGTTCATTTCTTGCCTCCTCCCTACTGCTCATGAGAATGACAACTAAGGACCTCTTTGGAAGATAATGCCAAACCAGGATTTTTTAAAAGATTATGAAGAGAAGTAAAAATTTACCCCCCAAGTCACCCTTTACAAGAAATTCATGGTCATTTTTATAAATAACTTTATGTAAAAATACTGATTATTAATCATTTTTAATTTTATCCTTTTACGATTTCAAGAAGCAAGGGTAACATATTAAATGAAAGAGAAAATATATTTAACAATTATACACTTATCAAGGGTAAAATTAGATTTTTTTTACCCTTTAGACAACATCAATAGGTTAATTATTAACTACTCCTTCCTTATAAATAGGACTGAGGTATCCGTAAGTTATAATAAGATCCTGATTTGATATTAATTTTCTTAGATGGTCCTTGGTTGTCATTTTCCCCCACTAGGTGCAGTTTATCAAAGCATAATTATGTAATTTTGTTATGAGAATATAATATTGGATGAATGTTCACAGGTTAGGGTTTGTGATTGATTTTCTGTCAAAGGCAACGCTGGTGGGTTTCATGGCAGGGGCAGCCATTATAGTGTCTCTGCAGCAGCTAAAAGGGTTACTTGGAATTACTCATTTCACTTCCAAGATGCAAATGATTCCTGTTATGTCTTCCGTTTTTACTCACAGAGACGAGGTATGTATAATTGTATATTATTTATTTTCTCACCAACTAAATTTATAATTCAATTAACTTAAAGTGATGCGATTATATGTTTTTTTTCCTCGTGATTTCACTTGATTTTTAGTTTAAAAGTTTATAATTTTTTCTTAAAAAATAATTTATATCATATCATCAAATTAATATGAATATACTGTTGAATTTGATAACATCACCTATCATATACTTCTTCGTCCCAAATTATAAGATACTTTTAGAGAAAATTTACCGTCTCAAAATATAATACACTTTAAGAATATTAAAATTTTATTAAATAAATTTATTTTAATATTATCCTTTCTCTCTCTATTTAATATTAATTAAGTATAGATTTAAGGTTATTAAATGAAGGATATTTTTAAAAGTTTATATTTTTTTTAAAAAAAGTTGTTAAGTGTATTTAGTGATGTTTATTTATGTGTGAGATTTTATTTAAAAATATCTTATAATTTGGGACGGAAGGAGTATCATGTTGACATATTAAACATTTTTTTAATTCATTGAGATTTGAAGATTACCAGAATAATTGAACCGAAATAAAACCCGGAAATTTAAACGATAAAAAAAATGGCAATAAAAAAATGTTTGCGTTTTCCCCACTCAACACATAACTCCTCCAGAGTCTCTTGCCCTCTTTGGCTGCTCCAAACATTGAGAAGAAATGATTACTTTAAAAGAACGGTCATTAATAACTTCGGTTAATTGCTAATCTAATCGAAAGGTTAATAGACATGTATGCTTATAAAATTATATTAAAGAATCATCTTCTAAATTTTGTTTATTGAGCTGGAGAATCTTTTGAAAAATACTTGGGATTTCTTTCTCTAATAATTTTCTCATGAATGGAACAGTTAAGGGTTAAGGGTCACACATAAATTTAATGTGTTAGTGATGCAAAGTATATATTGATATTAAAATATTAGACCAACTTGTGCAGTGGTCATGGCAAACAATTCTACTCGGATTCGCCTTTTTGGCTTTCCTGCTCATCACAAGGCAAATTGTAAGTTACTTTACTACTCTTTCTTCACATTCTCTGTAACGCTAACCAAAAAAAAAAAATTTGAACAAAATTGAAAGCATTCAGCCCTCAAGAATGAGGGGGAAAAGAGATAATAACAACAAAGGATTTCATAAGAAAATTAATGTCAAATCAAGATCTCAATGTAACTTAGATCTAATTAACAACAAAATTTAAAAAGTAATGAATAACAAGTAACAGTATTTAAAAAGAAAAAGAAAAAAAAAAGAGACACTGTATATTACGCACATAAGTTCATCTTAAGTAGATCTAATTAACAACTAAATTCCTCTTCAAATGTTGAAACAGAGCATGAAGAAACCAAAACTATTCTGGGTGTCAGCAGCTGCTCCATTGACATCAGTTATTCTGTCGACAATCTTAGTCTTTCTTCTCAGAGACAATGCTCATGGAATTGCAATTGTAAGAAAGAATTCATCTTGGGTTTTTTTAACACAATATAAACAAAAAATAATAATTATTCTTCATTACACTAACCTTTTTCTAATTTTGTTTCTGACAGATCGGACACTTACCAAAAGGCCTTAATCCACCATCAACGAACATGTTGTACTTCAGTGGTCCTTATTTGGCACTTGCAATTAAAACTGGCATTGTGACTGGGATTCTATCTCTTACTGTGAGTTACTCCACAAACACTACACTGTTTTTTAGCTACAAACTATAATTAAGATATCTACAGATATTCACATAATAAATTATTTTTTTAATCTGAAATCATTCTTATTATCATGTTTGTTAGCCTCTATAAGCAAGTAGTCCACGTCTCTGTGCCCAAGTGTTGTCCTCAAGTTTGAAGAGGCATATCAATTGTTACAATAACATTTTTCATGCATAACTTTTTGCATTCAGAGTACGATAATCAATTGTTAAATAAACATCTATGCTACTTAACTCAGTTGTCACTTCTATATTTTTTAACCAAGTTTCTTGTGTTTTCAGGAAGGAATTGCAGTAGGAAGAACATTTGCTGCACTTAAGAACTACCAAGTGGATGGAAACAAAGAAATGATGGCAATTGGTCTGATGAACATTGCTGGCTGTTGCTCTTCATGCTATGTGACCACAGGTAATGATTCTCAATTCTCATTCTCCTTTCATTTGCCCGTTTTTGAATCGTGAGTTCTTTCAGAAACAGAAATTCTGAGAAATTTCTTTCTTTTTCTGGGAAAATCAACTTGCAGGATCGTTTTCTCGATCAGCTGTCAACTACAATGCCGGAGCACAGACAGCCGTTTCAAACATAATAATGGCTGCAGCTGTTCTTGTGACACTTCTGTTTCTCATGCCTCTGTTCTATTACACACCAAATGTTGTCTTGGCAGCCATTATCATCACTGCTGTGGTAGGACTGGTAGATTATCAAGCTGCTTATAAATTGTGGAAGGTTGACAAGCTTGATTTCTTGGCATGTTTGTGCTCCTTCTTTGGTGTTCTGTTCATCTCAGTGCCTCTAGGCCTTGGAATTGCGGTGAGTTCTCAATACTAACAGTAAATTAATCAGAGGGAAACATTACTGATTCTTTCAAAGAAACTGCACTTGAATTTTTTGCTTACAATACAAGAACCATGACAAGGCTGTGATGAATGGAGTTACTGACTTATTCCGAAACTTCAGGTTTCAATTTCGGTCTTCAAGATTCTGCTTCACGTGTCTCGGCCAAACACGGTGGTGTTGGGGAACATACCGGGAACACAAATATTTCACAACCTTAGTCGATACAGAGAAGCTACAAGGGTTCCTTCATTTCTCATTTTGGCCGTTGAATCTCCCATCTACTTTGCCAATTCAACATATTTGCAAGAAAGGTAAGTTAAGCAGCCTCGCGGTTGAACATGAAGTTTCGCAGAAGCAATTTCTGAGTGATATTTTAAGAGCTTGTCTTGGTGCAGGATACTGAGATGGGTCCGAGAAGAGGAAGAGCGCATAAAAGCAAACAATGAAAGTACATTGAAGTGCATAATTCTAGACATGACAGGTACATTTGAACCTATTTTTTGAGACTCAAGAGATGGCGTCAATGAGAGTTGATAAAGAATCATACTCTTAGATATGAAAGATATACAAAAATCTGCAAGCACTCAATTGATTGTGACACCATCTTTCAAAGACTAACATCAATTTTTCATCTACTTACAATATTAGCAACAAAAAGTTTTCAGTCATTTTGACTTACCAAATGTTATTTTCTCAGCTGTGACAGCCATAGACACGAGTGGAATTGACTCCTTACGTGAACTTAGAAAGATTTTGGAAAAAAGATCATTCCAGGTATTGAACAATTGATGCAACATTTTAGAAGGCCTTGAAACTTACCAAAGTTTCCCCCCTAATCTTTACATTTCTTTTACTTGTATGCAGCTTGTATTGACAAATCCTGTAGGGACTGTGATGGAAAAGTTGCATCAGTCAAATATCTTGGATTCCTTTGCGCAGAAAGGACTCTACCTCACAGTGGGAGAAGCTGTGGCTGACATTTCTTTGTCCTGGAAAGCTTAGCCTTGCTATCTATAAGGGAATTTACGGGCTCAGGAAAACATATGGAAACTAACACCTCCAAACTTTTGGCAATTAGAGAAAACTCTAGTAGTGTTGGGAGTTTTGTTTTTGCCGGTGAGAGATACTCCTGTAATCTTCCAAGAGTCAGCTTTTGTTTTAGTGAAAAGTAAGGCTTGTTCCTTAACCAAGAAAGTTTCTCATCCCAGTTAGATGGTCCTAGCCTTTCCTTCAGCTAACAGAGGGCTGATGGTTGCTATATTACTTTCATCCTTTTCTTTTTTCCCCAACTGTTATCCTTTTCGGCTTTGGTTAGAAAGAGAATCCAAGAGAGATGTCTTCATGACTCCATTCTTGTGGAAGTTTTGAACTAAAGTATCTGAAGAATATCTGCTATTAAGTGCAACAAACTACACAGATAAACCTTTCCATCTCACAGGACTGTGAATGTCAAGTTTGCAAGGGATGTAATTGATGTATAAGAGATGGAGTCTTCCATATATTCATAAAATCCCTAGGATATTTGCAAGGTCCTTCACTGGCTAGGAGAAACCAGATTAAAAAGCAAAGCCAACAATTAAACTATACAGGCTACATACAGGATGACCAACTGCAAATTTGAATCCGATATTGATGAAATAATAAGGTAAAACAAGTCTGTGCCAGTGGTTCATTCGATTTTCTAACTCAACAATCTTGGGCAGAAAGCTATGCAACATTTAACAAATGTTAAGGTTGTAAGCAGACCTTAGAACCCACAATAGTGTAAAAGAATGGAAGCTCCATCAACTACCCACATGACCCAAAAACCACGAGGAAAAAGAAAGATAAAAGAATCACTAATTTCAAGAGTTGAATAATTCCCTGAAAAATGGTGTACCCAGTCAGCTCTGATTATCTGAGTTTTCTTCCCTGTAGCTAAAGAGGAAAACACGGGAAAAGACCATTCTTTCAATTGCATAACAAAATTATGCACTTTAAGGACTCCATATAGGAGGTCATCCAAATACAAGACACAAACAACAGCAGTTGCAGTGTCGCAAGACGATTTTTTAGGACTTTAAGCAACTTCAGTCTTCTGCCAATCAAACACCTGCAAAATTACAAGACACGGATGATTCAGATCCCTGGAAAGCCACACTAATATTTAGCAAGATATGGAAATCATAGTGAATGCAAACAAATAAAACATATTTCCAGTCTGCTTGTTTAAGGAAAATATGCACAGGAATTTGAATGGAAATTTCAGCGTCAACTAATGAAATTATCTCAATCAGAGAGAAAGCAACTCTCACTGTTTACAATGAAATCTAATGGGCTTTGCCCACTCTCTTCAAGTAAAAAAAAAATGAAATGAAATGTGGCTCATAATTACAGTTCTAAACCAACAACATAAATGCATTACAGTATGTGCTATGCATGCCCAAACAAAGCTTATACAGTTCTAAGCTATATATCTCTGTGTAATAATCAGTAATCATCAAGTAAAATAGATCACAGTTAGACTCTATTCTGTTATTAATTGCAATAAAAAAAATACATAAATTAATGTCAAGATCTCTGAGCAAAAAGATTTCAAAGAAAATAAACAAGGAAAATAAGGGCCAGCAGCATAACATGACATGAAGGTGAATGCTTGCCTAACATAATTTTGACAATTGAACATTCATTGAGACTTGAAAATATATAAATAATCATGCAAGATTAAATAGCAAGGGGAAATCCAACTAGCCAGCCAAACATCTATACAGGCAAAATTCTTACTTGAATGGTATCGCGTTATTGGTATATCCTGCAGTTCACGCCTGATGCACAAATATTCACCTAGCAATGCCGTCATTGCAATTCCAGTACCATTCACAATCCACCGTGTTATGGAAGATGGCCAACCTCCGTAAACTATGTAGATAAAAATATGAATGATGTAGAGGGTGGCTGAAAAGTCCAAGCACTTCTTCGCCCTTTCAATAAAAAAAAGCATGTAAGCAGCCCTGCAGAAACAAGATATCCATATCAATATTAGCCAAAATATTGAGACTTCTAAGTACTATGAAAGAGTTATTACAAAATCTTACCCTGACAAGCCAAAACGTTGTAGCCATATAAATGCACAACATACGAGTGGATATATCTTTAAGTTTGACATGTCTTCCTTTTCATTTTAGATACACAAACTACCTAGTGATAATCATGGAGGGCGAAAGCCTTCCAAGTTTCTATCTTCTCGTAATGCATAGATTGTATTCAAGGCATTTAAGTAAACAATAGATAAGTAAATATATGTGCCAAACAGGTTTAACAGTAACAAGGTCACTGTTCAACTCATAATACCATGATACGCCAAGAGATAATGGCCAACTTCAGAAAGGGAATAACTTATTTAACACCACTGAGAGTCATGCTCAAACAAGAGTAACAGTACAAGTAAATTCCAAGTTAACAACTTCAAGAAAAGCATGTCCATTGAAATCAAGTAATTATTATCCTGCCCCACTCCCCTCATGTATTTCTTACTTTTTCCTCACAAGTCATATTACTTATCTGCAGGTATTGCAAAAGATGGAAATTTAAGAAGCAACGGAAAACACAAGAGGGGTACGGAAAAGTCCAATTTTACACCCTTCACCTAAAATGATCTAAACAAAGCAAAATCAACCAAACTGAAAAGAAACAAATTATTTTTGAATGAATTCGCTTTATAAGCTTATAGAAAAAGGGGCTAAAGCAATAGAAAGAAAGAGGGGAGATGCCCTGAAGAATCTAATTAAAAGCGTTCAATATCCCCTTTAAACTGTGTTGAACAAAGGGTCAACGGATAAACAAAAGGCACCGGTACATAAGCAGTTCAGAGCCCTGGTGAGTCTAAATAGTTATGGACGAGACTCAGAAACTTCCAAAAAAAAGCAAATGAAAATGCTTTCCTTGTTATCTCAAAAATATGATTTTATAAGGTATGCAGTGGGCAAGGATTTCTATCAACTAGAGTCGGTAACCTGAATGAAATCGAATTATAGGTAAATGATCATAGCGACGTAGGATACAATCAAAATTATAATTTATAGCTAGTAACATACTCATGCATTGGAACCTAAGCAAACTCGAGGATCAGTATGGTGAAGTAGAATATTTACCCCGCAACTGAGCTGAGAAGCAATGAAGCAATGACACACCAACCAGACACGGTAGAGGTAGTGATGGTTGCATAATCAAAGAAATATACGAGGCTCAGCCAAGACACCCGTGTCCCGACAAGTATCGCTAAGAAGAGTCCAAGAGTGATATAGTATAAGCATTGAAGACAAACAATCTGTGCAATAATAAGCCAGGGGTCCCATGCCGCCACACCATAAAACATGACCGCAAGCAATTCTCGCAAGCACTTTATCTTCAGTACATATTATTCAGTAACAAACCCTGAAGAAACGCAATTTAATATCTAAAATTCGTAAACTAATGTAGCCTTCTACCCACAAGGCGATAAAATTGTTCAACGGAAGTTTTCACGAAACTTCAAACCCCAACCAGGCTTGCTACGTTCATTTCTTCCATTCCACTCATCTGCATTAAGATCTGCAAGCGATAAATTTTGATAGCGTATTTCACGTGTTGATCTTGACATAACAGCAGCCAATTCGTCGAACAAATACAGACAATTCGAGCCTCAGATTGAAGATCTTGAGAAAACGAATAGTTTGAGATCAAGATGGACGACAAGAATTGAATGTATTTCTACAGCTTTCAAGCCAAGAGAGATGTCATGGAATTGGAGAACGACGAATCAGAGCCATTCTCCACAAAGCTCCCGTGAGTGAGTTTTATTTAAACTATTGATCTGAATTTTATCGTACACCCATTCAGTCATTGAACCCAAATTCGTCTCAACATGCCGTTTACTTGGGTCGCTATTCGTTTCACGATCCAATGTGCATTGTCCTGTGAGATGTGTCATTCGTGTTGACGCCGTTGTCAAATTCTCAATATTAATTTACTATATATTTTTCAAATCTCGTATAGGACGAGGCTAAAGAAGAAGAAAGATAAATAGCAATCAATAACCTCAATAATAAATTAATACTCCTTCAATTTAAAAATATAAAATATTTTTAATTAAATTTTATTTTTTAATAAAATAGTTATTTATTTTTCAACTAATCCTATCTTTTTATATTTATCCCTATTAAACATCTTATAATAAATATAAAGTCATCATTAATAAGGGTACTTTAAAAAAAAAAATAATTACATCTCATAAGACAAAATACCTTACATTTTTTAATATCTAACTTATCAAAAAATGTCTTACATTTTTAAACAGAGGGAATATTAATTAAAAATTAATTAATTTTAAAATTATAATACAGTCTCTTAGTCCTTGACTAATATAATTTGTGAAGTTAAAAAATCAAATTGCTCCTTAAGTAACCAAAAAAAAAAACCTCACCTCCCTAGCTTATGAACCCCTATCACCAGTGGGGTTGTCGGCAGCTGGCCATCAAAGCGTCGGTGTCAACAACATTTATTTTAATAAATATTTAATTTAGGTGGTCAAAGAAATGTTTAATGCCATGACCTTTTAACTACATAAAAAGCTTGGTAGCCACCAAGTCTTTTAATTATGTACAGCAAAAAGAAATATAAATAGTAAATCAAGTTTCTACCACTTACATATTATAATATAATGATATGTTATTAATTTCTGAACTATACTTATTATTTTATTAATATTACTTATTAATTTAATATTAACAATAACAAATTGAAAGCTTTAAAACTTTATACATTTTACTTATTAAAAGTTCAAACGCATTGTTAATAATTAATGAGTTGTTGTCAAAACTCGAATGAATATTTGTTAATAAAGGACTAACACTTATATAATTAAGCTTATCCCGTCAATTTTTATAACTTGTTAAAACCAGAATGGATAGTTGTTAATTTAGAATAAGTTGTTAAAACCTAAATAGATAATTATTGATAAAGGACTAATACGTACAATTAAGTCCATCATATCTATTTTTCTAATTTGTTAAATCCCGAATAGAATGTTATTAATTTAAAATGAGTTGTTATTAAAATCTAAATGGATACTTATTGATGAAGACTAACACATACAATTAAGCCCATCTTATCTATTTTTCTCTCTTCTTAAGGCCTAAATAGACTGTTGTTAATTTAGAATGAGTTATTTATTAAAACTCAAATAAATACTTGTTGATGAAAGACTAACACATATAATTATGTATATCCTATATGTTTTCTAGCTTATTAAAGCCCGAATGTACCTTCATAGAATGTTCATAATTGTACATGTTAGTCTTTTATTAACAAGTATTCATTTATGTTTTAACAACAAGCCATTCTAAATTAACATCAGTCCATTCTAGCTTTAACAAGTTACAATTTTAATTGTATGTGTTAGTCTTTTATCAATAGGTATCCATTTTAATTTTAATAACAAATCATTCTAAATTAACAACAGTAATTCGGGTTTTAACAGGTTAGAAAAATGGATATGATGGACATAATTGTATATGATAGTTTTTTATCAATAAGTATCCATTCGAATTTTAAAAATAACTTTTTTTTTAAATTAACAACAGTCCATTCAAATCTTAACACGTTAGGAAAACATATGTGATGAGCATAATTGTACGTGTTATTCTTTCATTAACAAGTATCCATTCAGGTTTTAACAATAAATTATTTTGAATTAACAACATTCCATTCGAGATTTAACAAGCTAGAAAACAGATAAGATGGGTCTAATTGTATAAGTGTTAGTCCTTTATCAACAAGTATATATTAAAGTTTTTATAATAATTTATTTGAAATTAACAATAATCTATTTAGGTTTTAACAAGTTAGAAAAAATGATAGGATGAGCTTAATTGTATATGTTAATCCTTCTTTAACAAGTATCTGTTCGAGTTTTGACAATAACTTATCAGTGATTAATAACAATATATTTAGACATTTAACAAGTAAAATTCATGAAGTTTTTAAAGCCTTCAATTTGTAATTATCTATGTCATATTAATAAGTAACACTAGTAAAATAACAAGTGCAGTTCATGAATTAACAACACACTGTTGTATTATAACATAGAAGTGAATAGAAGCTTAGTTTACTACTCTCTTTTTTTGCATATATAATTTTAGCCACTAAGCTTTTTAAGTGGTTAAGGGGTCATGTGATCAAACCCTTCATTAGCCGCCTAAACCAAATATTTTTTGAATAAAAATGTTGCCCATTGACCCCGCTGACAGTAGGGGCTCCGACAATTTCGCCGCCAATAAGGGTTCGACGACCAACACCAATGACGATGGAGGCAGCTTTTTTTTTACTTCTAGGAGCAATTTAGACTTTTGACCTCACAAACCAACACCAACAATAGTGGGGAGGTAGCTTTTTTTTTTTTTACTTTTAGAAGTAATTTGGACTTTTGACCTCACAAATTAATATTAATCAAAGACTGAAGGATTGCATTGCAATTTTAAAATCAATTGGTCTTTGACTGATATTAATTTGGTACCGAGGTCTTTGGTTGCTATTTTTCCAAAAAAAAAAAAAGCCATACATATATGCATATTGCTAATTTGCTATTGCTTCCTTTGGCTTTCATTTTATTTTCTATTTTTATATTACTATTTGCCAATAGTCCCTCCATTTTTTTTGGGGTAAAATCCCTCCATTGGTTATTAGGGAGAATTATATTTAAATTTCATACAAGAAAATTAATTACTACAAGGTCCATTGACAACACAATCAATTGTTAATGGCCTTAGTTTAGTTGTCAATGAACCTTATAGTAATTAATTTCTTTGTGTGAGATTTCAGTGTAATTCTCCCTCATTATTGTAAGACAATTAAGGGGATAAATAGTCTTTATTATAAATAACTTGATGAGATATTAATTATATTTTTTAATATTATTTCTATTTAAAGTCATTAATTATTATAGAAAATACAATGTAAACATAAAAAAAATTATTTAAATATGAGTAAAATAAAAAAAATCTATTCGATTTTTATATAAAAAAAATCATTTGACCATTTTTCATTGATTTGGTAAAGTAATTACCTTATGATACGTAGAGTGGTATGGTGCTAGTTTGCACGCACTACCAACAAAACATACCATAGTCATAGCTAATAATTCAACCCACTATACTATTAATTTTCCAATTTTAATAGAGCTAGAGCTATTGATTAACAGCTGAAATTTCCAAACCTGACAAGCTACCACACTGCCCCATCATATCTTGCTTTGTGAAATGGAATACACTTTTGCTGGTAGGTTCAGATCATGATTCCATCAGTTTACATTGACTATTTGATTATAAGATTAGTTTCTTCATTTGACTAAATGAGGGTATGTTTATGTAATCATTTTAATTGAGATTTAAAGGCAAGATATCATAAAGTGATCACTGAAATAACCATTTTAGACCATAAATAATGCACTTCAACTTCAAACTAAAGGGAGAAAATTTATTTTGGATGATTATAGGGAATGCATTGTAATATACCCCCAAGGGAATTGACTTGAGTGCAACATTAACCGGCTTCTCAAGGGAAAATATTACATCATGAGTCTGCCCTGCAATTTTTTTTTTTTTTTGGGGGGGGGGGGATTACGGCTACTTAGATTCCTTATATCACTGCGGATTAGCCCTTCTTCTCCTCAAATTCTTTCGTGCATTTACAGTGACGTTGTCCTTGTTTTCACTCTTATTATTCTCCACTGGCTCATCATTAACAATAACTTTTGAAGAATTTATTTGATTCCTTAACCGCAATATCTCACCCTTGGCTGAAGCCAATTCCTCCTCAAGTTTCTTGCTCCTGTTCTCTAAGGTCTCTCTCTCCTTCCCAAGTCGCATGATGATGACATGAGCATCTTCAGTGTTCTCTTGGGCTTCTTTTTGTGCAATTCTCTGCTCTGCAAGGGACTTTTGAAGCACCTCTTTCTCATTTTCAAGGCTTGAAATAAGAGATTTTGCCTTCTCATATTCACCGGAAAGGATCAGTGCATTTCGGTTCATTTCATCGAGTGATTTCGTCGCCTCCTCTAGGTCCTGCTCAAGTGATCTTTGAACCTCTTTGTTCTTTGTGACTTGCTGCTCCAAAGATTGTAGGTTAGCATTTAAAGAAGTGACTAATTTTCTCTCTTCTTTCAAGTTCTCTGCTGCAGTTTCAGCCTTTTTGTAGACATCAACCAACTCTCTCTGTAAGCTATCACAGCTTTCAAGAGCAGTTGTAAGTTCATTGGTCTTACTTTGCAACTCAAGCTGTCTTTCCTGTAGATGTTCATTCGCTGTCCTAAGCTCACCGGCTAGTGTTTCTGCACCGAGTTTGGCATCATCAAGGCTCTTCTGTACTGACCTTTTAACTTCAATGAGCTGAGCTGAAAGCTCAGAGACCTCAACCTTCAGCTCAGAGTTCAGTACACTGGACTCTTTTAAACGTTTTTCCAATTCAGCAGCCTCATTCCTTGATTTTCCAAGATTCTCCTGTGTGATTTGCAGTTCACGCTTCAAATTACTCACCGTTTGTGATTCCTTCTTGAGAGACTCATCTAAACTATCCCTTTCTTGGGTCAAATCAGAAATTATAGCTTGGTTTTTCTTTGCTTCATTAAGCGCAAGTTGTAGGTTTTCATTTAGTTGATGAAGCTCTCCTTCTGTTTCCCTTAAAATCTTAGCATCTAAAGCAGCCTTCTTTTCAGCATTCAACTTAAGGCCATTGTATTCTTCCTCCAGGACACTAAATTTTTTCCTAGAATCATCCATCGCAAGAGTCAATGAACTTATTTTAGCATTGAGTTCATTCACCAAAGAATCTTTGGCTTCGAGACCCTCTTGACGCTTCTGTAGTTCATCTTTCAACCCTTGAATTTGCAAATGAAGACAGGATACGTCATCCTTGGTTTGATTATAGGCAGAATTCAAATTCGTCAATTCCAACTCCTTTTCTGCAAGCGATGAACTGAGATTCTGAGCAACATCTTCTTTCTCCTTGAGCTCTGAACTCAGCAGATTAATCCTCTCTTGTAAGATTTCAATAGAATCTATCTTTTCTTGCAAACCTTTTTCAAGGCCTTCCTTGTCTGCATCAGTTTTTGAAAGCTCAGTTCTAAGGTTTTCTATTTGGAGTTTCAGCTCTTCAACTAGACTTTTCTCATTTTTCAATTCCTTGCCTAAGCGAGCGGCAGTGTTGTTTGCTAAATTTATTTCATTCATCAAAGCTTGCTGCTCTTCCTTTGCTTTACCAAGCTGCTTGGATCGTTCCTGCTGCTCATTCTGTAACTTCAAATCATAGTCCTTTTTCAAGGATACAATCAGCTCTTCCTTATCCTTTAGTTTTCTGTTCATCTGCGCACAACCGGTAACATCTATGGCTTAAACCTATTAAATAAACCATACATACATTCTAACAATCAATAAATTACTTCCAAAATATCTTTACCCTTATAAGATCAAATTACGTTAGAAGAAACTGGATAGTTGTTTGTTCATTTAATGAGAGGAAAGGGAAAGTTACTCCCTGATTTTCTTTTTATCCAGAAGTCTGTTTGGATGAAACACTTGTCAACTGCCAAAACATATGCTCAGATGTTTCAAGAAGTGCTGGACAGTAACAAAGTATAGAAGCTTACCGTCTCTACTGTTGAGCGAGCACTGGCGCTTTCTTGCTGAGCCAACGCATAGAGAGCGCCCAAAACACCAGAAGAAATTATTCCAAATGCATTCAGGAAAGACAAAAAGGGATTTGGTGGTCTGTCACTTTGCTGCGCTGTCTGTCCATAGAAGTAACTCAGTTTAGTAATATTTCGAGCATGCCAATGACAAATATGAGAAACAGCAATATACTGCTCATTATATCAAAACTAAGAAACTATTGAAACCTCTGCTTTTTGGCTGTCCTCTGGTGTCTTCGCTTCACTTTCTTCTGGAAAGTAAGACGAAGAATTGCACAAGTTTTAGAAGAAAATATTGTAACGTTCCATGAAACAATTAAGATGGTAGTATGAGCAGTTAAGAAAAGCACATGGAAAATAAAATGTTCACCTGAAGTCCCCAGTTATTTTTTGGGTGCAAACTTTGTGTTACAATTAGCTCAAACGAAAGAAGCTTTTAGATATAGAGTGGATCAATCTTGGAAAAAGATTGATTTTTCTTTAACACATTTATGGAGTTCATCGTTGTATTTACTGGGGACAAAGGAATCAGGAATAACATGTCAGTCTAATAACATTTTACCAAGCCATACACTTATTTTACAATCTCGTGGAAAGGGAATAAAAACTCTAGATTCCATAATATTGATACAAGAAAAGGATAACAAGAAAATACATCCAAAAATTTAAAACAACCACGGTAGAGGTGGCAGGTAAACTTGCGACATTTTTCTCAGAATGTTAGAAAAAAGTGAGATCATTGTCTAGATTGGCTTGAGTCCACCATCAGTTTCCTGAACTACCACGAGGCAGTCAATATTTTGACTAAATCATCACAAGTATTGGTCTGAGGCATAAAGCTTAGGCCTCCAGTCATTCAAGTATTTCAGCAAATTACTCCAATATCACAGTAAGTCAGTAATAAAGGCAGGAACTCTGATATTGTCAAGAAAAATCTATAAACCAAGTTGCATGGCCACGATTATTCAAAGACCTCTTGGAAAATTTGAAGAAATAAAAACTAAAAGCAGGCAGCATCAATTAAGCATGGGTGACAGGCACCTTTTTTGTTTTTTTTGTGACAAGACAACCAACGGCTAGTTAAGCCAAAAAAAATGTTTTCATTTTTTTTTTCTGCTGAACTATTAAGGAACAGCAACTCCAGACATTCCGTCCATCTGTCCTGTCTTATTTAATTGCACTCGTTAGATGCATCAATGTTTGTGCACCCAAGAAGCAGTTCAAATACCTTAGATCCATTTCTCTTTTAGTCTCAAAATCATGCATTGTATTCAACCAAATATAGCTCGGATATAGATGATAAATATTGGCATGTTGGACAATCTGGATAAACATAACAATGAAAAGCTCGGTTGATTGAACCATGAATGCACTTGACCCCTACTCTTATTTTAAATCGGTTTTTTCATATCATAGTATAAAGAAAAATATCAGTAATTATCCAGTTAGACTATAAAATTATGTAAATACTAGGCTTTTGCTCCTAAGTATGATTCTCGTAAAGTCGCCACATCCGATGACACCGTCTTAATATGATCTGCTTTGCGTCCATAGAAAAAAAAAAACGATTAAATATAAGGTCAAAAACAGGTCACAAACTCTCAAAGTCACACGCCAAAACAAGATGCAAGGAATTCCAGCGTTGAAAGGACGCCATGAAAACTACAATTTTCCAGATTGGTCCCACTGATTGGAAACATATGAAAACTGGGCACCAGGAACTAGACAAAAAACTAGAAAGTAAAAAGAACTTAGAAATTAAATAGGACTGATCAGATTCAACACACAGTAGACCAGTCAACTTTTGCTCTAAAACGGAATACAAGGAAGATCGACCTAACTGAAGCCATCTATCTAACCTAAGAAATTTGGAGTTGTTATCGATAGAAAGCATAAGAAATCTTAAACTTACTTGTGACCAGCCCTTCAATAGCTCTGGCTTTGAATCCCAGCAATGGAAGAACCGCGATACCCATGAAGATAACTGTCCTCTTATTGCAAAACCCGCTCTCATTTGGACTTTCTTGACGCAAACACGCCATTGGAGCTCTGAACCTTTTCTTAGCGTGTGCATTTCTTGCCCAAGAATAAGATTGAGACGAGGAAGAAGACGAAGGCAAGGGAAATTGATATAGCGAAGAATGTAAGAAGCAAGAGCTTCCCGCCACGAAGCCCATCTCGTTCGATATTCTCTTTAGAGAATGGAGTGAGCCAGCTCTCTCTTCCGTCCTGTCTTCTCAATTTTTGCTTGACGCTTCCATTATCACCCAAAGTTGAAATGCCTTTGTGCCAGAAAAACAAATTGTTGTCGAACACATTTAATTATGGAGAAAATATTTACTCACGGAACTCTTCTGTATTCTTTTACTTAGGATGTATTTGGTCCGAAATATAAACCCTTTCCTTCAGTTAATTTTAATTTAAAATATAAATAATATATATAATTTTTTATTTTGTTCTTTGTATTTATTTATTTAGATTCTTATATAAAGTTGTCTCTTTCTGATTATAAAATATATTAATAATTAAAACTAAAGATTACATATATATATATATATATATATTTATAAAAATAAGAATTTTATCGGCACGTAAATTTTTTTAAAAAAATTGCTTATATACTTCATATTCATTGTGGTATTTTGCCCTTATTGCAAACTAAAACAAAGCTCTAGTAGTTAAATTAATTTACACCTTTTGAGTAATTTTTCTTGCATATACTATTTAACTTAACATTCACACTTTCCTATAATTTTTTAGTAATTAATAATCATCTTGTAAAACATTAAGTTCAGTTTTCTTAAATGAGTACTTTCAAAAATTAGTATTTAATATTTTAAATATAAAATTGTACAATTTATACATGGCAATAATTTTTTAAATTTTTTTTTCATTTAGTTATGAATTTCATATATGATTTTTAAATGGATAGTTGAAAATGTTTGCTGACAAAAGTATATCCATCTACCAAACAAAAATTATCTGAAAAGATCAACCTGATGATAAAAACGAAAATTAATTTCTAATTCATTAATGTTCACACAAAATGACCGTGTTTTTCCTTGTTCGGAGGTAGGTCCACGTAAGCTAGATTTTGTACCTTTTGAGTTGCTTTCCTTTGCATTTTGACCCAATAAAATCACCGAAAAAATGATAAGCAATTTCATCCAAAACCGGCGAATTATAAGTTGCCACGTCATAGCCTTCTGCATTTTGCTTCTGCAGAATCGTTTTGTTACTTCCGCTTTTCTTTTAGAAATTTGAATTTGAATACTTTATGTGGGTTCTATAGTCAGGGAAGCTTTAAATAAGGTTATTCATAATGGAAGTTTATTTTTTTTAACTTCTACTTGGTGTTTAAAATTTTTCATTTTGGCCACACACACAAACTCCAGTCCATAGCTTTTGCGTTTTTTTGTTTTTTTGTTTTACTGTATGATAATGCATGCATTAAAATCAGATCTGAACTTGAATCTTGTGAAAAAGTTCAAAATTAAATCCATAATCCAACCTATGACAGGCTCCCAAGATATGAAAAAAAATTGAATAATTGTAAGAAAATACGGTGAATCATTCCTAATCTTATGAAATGTGGTGGTTTTGCTTTGCATATTGCGTACCTTTTCAAAGATTTGAATTCTTTTTTTTTTTGGGCAAAAGGGTAAAAATATTTAAAAAGTTGTCGATTAAAAGTAAAACTGAAAAAACAGGCGAGCATGACTTTTATGGATCCAACCCCTAAACCTTTGAACCTGATTTTCTATTTTTCTCCTTTTTTTAACCCCGAACCTTATTTGAAAGGCTCAGGGCAAGATCTATAAGCTCTATTCTGAAAAGATTTAAAAAAATTAAGCAATATAAATTAATTAAAATATTATAAAATTTAAAAATAAAAATTTTTATAATCTTTTAAAAATTAAACAACACACATTTAAAATTCTAATAAGAAAATTCAAATCTTAATTAAAAAAATAGTTCATTTTTCATAAATACACAACCATAATAATTATAAAAAATAAAAAATATTAAAAATTGTATACTATACACTGATATTTATTAAATTATATTAAATTAATTTTAAAATAAATTAAATTAATAATAATAAAATGGGTGTAGGACCAGAGCTTGAAGGGCTTCAAACGTGTGTTTCACTAAAAAAAATAATAATATAATAGAATTTGAAGAGTCGTCCAAGCCCAACCCTTTTTTTACAAAGTTTATCAGGATTAGGCCTTTAAACTCAATTATTTTAAAAAAATTTAATTTTTAAAATCTGAACCCTTATTTAAACAAAAACCTCTAAGTTTGACCCCTATTCCCAACTTTAACTAAGAACATCTAATAGTCAAAAGTGCACAAGTATCTATAAAACTAATTTAGTCAGTGCATATGTAACCAAATTGTTAAAAGTTAATGCCATTGACCGTTATGCTATGGATTGAAAATTTAATAGTATGGTCACATTTATACTGACTAAATTAACTTCATTGGCACTTATGCATTTTTTTTCTCACTTTATACTACTAAATGCTCTTGACTAATAACTTTTTAAGTATTTTTGACCATTTACCCCTTTGCCCTTTTGTAGGCATTAAGTTTTTTTTTTTAAAAAAATAAAAGGTCTCAAAATAGAAGATTTAGCATATCATAGAAAATATATTCAATTAATATTAGGAAAAATTGTCCAAAAAAACCTGACCAAATTTCATTTGCTAAGAAGGACTTATGATAGATTACAAATTAAGGTCCTTCGGTGGCATTAATTTGAAGCTTCAAATTAACAAAAATGCCCTTACCATATCTCTCCCCTCTCCCCTCCAGATTTCAGCTCCCATCTAGAGTTGGGAAACGGGCGGGTCTGACCCATATAAGCCTAAGTCTTGAAGCCTGATTTTCTTAAAAATACTCTATTTTTGAGACCCAGCCCTTATTTAAAGAACTCAGGATCGAGCTTTTAAGCCCATTTAAAAAAAATTAAAATAAAATCATAGAATCAAAGCATGAGAATCACATAATCAAAGGCTGAAATTGGTTCCTGTAACGATTACATTTGCTAGTCGCGCTCTAATTATAGCTTTCATGTCCAACATTTTAAAAGGTGACTTAGGTCCTGTAATAACATGAATACAGATACAAGTTATTAAGTGAAATAGAAATGATTTGCCATCCAATCATAAAAATGATCTAATATCATTACAATACTCTTTCATTTATGTACCAAATAGGAAGTAAAAAAATGATCCTTGGATAAGCCAAACAGTCAATAACTAGGACTGTAAATGAAAAATGAAGACATGTAATTTTAATACAATTCCCCACAAAAGTTAACAGCAAAAGAACATGATCTAAAATTTTTAACAAGCTAAACTAGTGGTGTGAACTCCACCACAAATAACTCATAAACTTAAACTAGATGAAAGGCAAAACAAAATAACCTTTGGATGCTTTCAAATGAAAAGCTTGGACAATCCAGCTTTTCTTTACATAATTTCCTTAATTGATAATTCCAAGGACAAGGCTTAAGATGCTTCTATAGAATGGTGTTGAAGCTTGCGTTCTCATTGACCTTAAAAATCATGAGCATGACATCCTCTCAAAAATTGAATTCTTTAAACTCTTATTAGACAGTATGAAAGTAAATAGAGAAGCTTCTTTATTTTTTCTTTTGCAACATAGCAGCATATAAAGCAGAAGAAATTAGCAACGTGACTCACCCATGGGGAATTAAGCAAAGATAGAGGCATAGCAGAGAATCAATCAATCAGACAGAGAATAATCAATTTAAACCAGAAGCAGCCAAAATTAGATAAGACTCAAATAAGAATCAAAGAATTAGATAGAGGTGAGGGCACCTGAAGTCGAGATTGAGAACTATAACAGAGGCAAGAACGAGCACCCACAGTTCTCTGTCTAGAGGAGTCTATTGTGAGCAGCTAGAGGATTCCATCGAGAGACCATTGATGTCGATGATATTGAGCTGGCCGAGAAGTGAGCACTGTGAAGGAGAATACGCCGATAAAGTGAAATCATGAGCGAGGACCGAGGGGCGAGAGTACTATGACTCCTTAGTCGAGATTGAGATATGAGATTGTGAGGACGAGAGGGAGGAGAGGCTGAGCTGCTAAGATCGTGATTCGTGAGGCCGAAAGCGAGAGGAAAGAGGGCAAAGTCACTCGTATGAGATGCTGAGAAAAAGATGAATCGCAATTCACAACTCGTAAGTGTGCAGTATGGCTTAGGGTTTCTTCTCCTCTTAGACGGTGCGTTTTGAAATCAAGCATGAAAAAGAAGAAGAAGAAACCGGGCTTGGAGGGATAACCGAGCTTATTTTTTAGAATCTATCAAGGATGGGCTTTGAAGTCCAAGTTCCTAAAAATAGTTAATTTTTCAAGTTTAAACCTTTATAAAAATTAGCTTAAACGAGCGACCTTCTAAGCTCGGTCATACTCCCATCACAATATCCAGAAACTTTCAAACCATCGACAGCATCTCTTCCTCTCTTTACTCTTTTGTCTTTCCTCTCCTCTCTAAATTAAGGCTTACAAGACCATTGCTAGCGTCGGCCTCTTCAAAGCTACTCTTTGGCCCTCCCTCTCCATGTTCTATCATCAATTAATCCCACTCTTTTTGACTGGCGACAAAATTTATGTTTGCACTGCCATAGTTTTATGCACTAATTTTTAAAATAACCATCTTGCATGTCGTTAGCCATGGCTAACAAGATGAAGTCTGTTGCTTCAAGCCTCAACAAGGTTGATCTAGATATAAACCACTTTAAGCGTTGATTTCCAATAGTTTAATTTTGGGTTCAATCTAGCTTTCTCTTTCTAATTGATATTGGGTTATATCTTTGCATATCATGATGATCTATTTCTTACGTGGAAATTTATATACTTGTTTACAAATGTTGGTTGAAATCTTAATATACCTACTCATTTGTCTAGAAGCTTGAGGATTGTTATACTTGTTTACAAATCTATACATGTTACTTGATTCACTCCCCTGAAAGTTGTGAGTGTTCCATACTTAAGCTTGTAACCTTTGTGTTCGTGAAATTATTGATCAATTTCAATTTTTTCATTCTTTTTTTCCTAGTATTTCTTTTCTACTATTTCCATCCCAGCTCTGTTTTAGATTTTTTTTCTTTTGGTTTTATGGACATTTCAACATAGTAAAGGCTCTTGAGCTTTTTACTTATCTATTAATTTGAAAACCCTTCACAAAGACTTTTTGATTCTGTCAACTATTTCTTATTTTTCTCCTACCTTGTTTTCTCTTTAAAGCTTATGGCTATGAATGATGCCATTCAATTATTTATTATCTAAGGAAGAGACAAATTGACAAGAAAGGTTGCTTGGAAAAAGTCAATAGGGGTACTACTTTCCTTTTCTCCAAGAATGAAGCCTCTTTGAAATCTATTTGCTTTTTGTAATAACAATTCGATCCTTTTTGTATGATAGGAACTTGTAATACAATGATATATTAAGTTTGATTTCAAAACTCATGTATGTGATGATAATGTAGTTTCCTTGTTGAAATATTGATATTTCAATGTTCTTGATGTCTCCAATATCTCCTTTAAAAGTAGAAGTTTTGTTTAAATATTTTACAGACACAAATATTGGACTTGTGCTCCTCATCATTAATGAAAAAGTAGACTAAGGTGGTGGCTTTTTTCTTGACATGTGTGTGTACAAGACTATTCTGGTGCCAACTGAATGAGAAAAATTTTCTTTTTTATTAAAAAATGATAAGATAAAACATGAAAATTTTCTTGGCATGTGTTCTAGTGTACTTTTCCAATCAAACATTAAAATGATAATTTTTGTCAAACATGCTCTTTAAAGTAAATTTTCTGTTGACAATTTATAATGTTTCCAACACATTTAGCATGAACAAGACATGGAGAAGATAAAAGCATTGCAAATTTGAGTGAATTAGGAGGCAAGGGTAAAGTAGTTGGAGAAGGTGACAATGTTGGAGAACAAGGTGGTAGCGCTGGAGAAAAAAGAGGCCAAGATAAATAGATTAGGAGTATCATTAGGATGTGTCTTTTGCAAATGTTCATGTTCGTGAAATTGTTTTCATTTGTAAAGCATACATGATTATGTCAATGCACATTTAAAGATATAGAATTCCACCTTTTGTTACTCTTATTTGTCTACATATTCAATTTCTTATTTCAGGTGTTATTTTGCTTATAAGTGAATATTTATTGGTGTTCAATTATTTTGCTACGTGGAATGTAAAATGGATTTATTTTAAACTCAATGTAAAGTGTAAACCATGAACCATGCATTATGTTAATGTGAAGGAATAAAGTTGTTCAATGTATGAGTTGTTCAAGGACTTTTTTCATTTCTAACACTTGATTTTCAAAATATCGAAATAGATTTTCATGAAAAATAAGCAAATTTTTAGAATATGGATTTACATTTTTAGAATATCTTTTGGTGTTTTCATAAAAGATGTGCAAATTTTAAAAATATCCATCCACATTTTCAAAATCTCCATATGCATTTTTATAATATCAATTTGTATTTTCAGAAGATACATTTGTGATATCTTAAAAACACAATATTGATACAATGTTCAAATTTCAAGTTCTAAGCCATATTCAAATATACATTTTGGATATTGGAATATTACTTTAAGAAGTTGCAAATAAGCTTTCATTTATTTGAATGTACAAAAGTGTTATTCAAACATATAGAAAAAATTTACATTTCATTGAATATTAGTCACATATCAAGAAACAAATATTGAATATGCTTCCAAAAATATACATAATGGAAATTAATAAGTGATATTTGAATATGCAAAAATGTTATTCAAAAATGTGGAATAAATTTGCATTTCGTTGGATATCAGCCACATATCGAGAAAGAAAGATTGCATATGATTCTAAAAATATACATAAGAGAAATTAATTAATAATATTTGAATATGCAAAAGTGTTATTCAAATATATGCAAGAAATTTGCGTTTCATTGAAGACTAGTGCATATTGAGAAAGAAAGATTGCATGTACTTCCAAAAATATGCATAAATAAAATTAATGAGTAATATTTAAATATGTCAAAATATTATTCAAATATGTGAAAGAAATTTACATTTCGTTGAATATCAGCCGCATATTGAGGAAGAAAGATTGCATATGATTCCAAAAGTATCCATGAGAGAAATTAATGAATGATATTCAAATATGTAAAAGAAGTTTACATTTTACTGAAGATCAATCATATATTAAAGAAGAAAGATTGCATATACTTTTAAAAATATCTATAAGAGAAATTAATGAGTGATATTCAAATATACAAAAGTGTTATTTAAATAAATGAAGGTTTTCTTATATATAATTAAAGTTTAAATGTATATAATGGAATAATCATTATATATGACTAAAGACTCATACTTCTAGTATTTCAAATGACTTTCGAGTTAAAAAATTTTACAATATCAAAAGATGTAAATTGAATAAATGAAATTTTTATTACATATAATGGAAGTTCAAATATATATATATATATATATATATAGTGGAAGAATCACTACATATGACTGAAGATCCCTACATGTAGCCTTTTTTGACATATTAACACTAAAGGACCTTACATTAAATATTGATATGAAATTATTGATAGTGAAAGACCTTGTGACATATTGACAATGAAAGATCTTATGTGAAATGTTAGCAATAAAAGACCTCGCTCCACTTTTTTTTTTTTTACAAGAAGGGTATTTATGTCATTTAACCCTTAGCAATTAATGCAAAGAACCTCATTCTCCAAAAGTTCCTAGCTCCTTGTTAGCGATTAATTTAATGATTGGGTTTTTATAACAATTTTCCCTTAAAATTATCAACTTTTGATTTAGTATTTTAAACATCATGTACAACAATTCAATATTTTTCACAATGATTTAAAGTTGGAACAAATTAGATGGTTGGACTGTCAACCAAAGCCGTTGACGGTTCGTCTTGGACTAAAAAACTAATTTTATGATTAAGCCAGGTTGAATCGAAGTTAAATCGCTATTAAACTGAAAATTAGATGGTTTTAAACATAATATTAAAAAAAGCTTAAAAAAGTTTTTAAAAAATCAAAAAAAATTAAAAATTTGATTATACTAAAAGTCAACTTTATTTTTGAATAATTTATATGTATAAAATATAATTTGAAACATTTTTTATAAAGATGTTGACAATTATAGATGCAAATACAAATACTTTTAAATTTACTCATATCTAATTTAATTAGAATCCATATACATTTAATGTGTTATAAAATTATAATTAATAATATTATTAATTTACAATCATGTCATATCATTTTATTAATATATTATAAATTATTTCTTATATTTATTTTATATATATATATTTAATATTATTTTTATTTAATTATTATATTATTAGTTTGATCATTGATCTAACATGATTGGGTCATGATTTAATCATTAACCTTTCCAGTTCAATTATGAAAACATTAATTTTTCATAGCATATACATGTGATATTCGTCCGGGTTCTTACCCATAGACTCCTAAGGATCTTAATGCATATTCAAAATGCATTTTGCCCATTCTTGTATCCCATTGCCTACTTTAATTGTCAAACATTATAGTAATTCCCACTGAATTAATTCGATGTAAATATAAAATTTATAGCAAATCAAAATATATAAAAATTATGAGTTCTTCAAATCCCATCTTACGCATAGACAAATATGTCTAACTAGCCATGAAAGTCCATTTTTTTAACAATTTAAAGGGACATTTGAGCAAGAATCCACAAGCCAACAAGTGAATAAAAGCACATTGCCATTGAAGAAGAAAATAACTGTCTCAAGAGTACTCATGACAAATTCAAAACAGAGAGAACTCATTTTTCTGCCTTAATAACTCATCCCACCATGAAAACTGGTACTTGACAACCAGCAAACAAAGCACCTTATTTGTGAACAGAACAGGTTAACCACATATCTTTACCGCTCTCTCTCTCTCTCTGTTTTTTTTTTTTTTTAAACTTCTTCATCACCACTTGCATATTATGGTGTTTCAGGTGAGTAATCAAAGCACTCTTATTTGGCCATTGACAGGTTCATGAAGAAGACATCATGGTAGCTTGAATCCGGCGAGCTCTCTGCCGAGTTGTTCTCACTTTTCTTCTCAGCTAAAATCTCCTCTGAGCGACAATCAAAACTGCAAAATGCTTTCTCACCCCTGCGGGACAAGCAAATAAACTACAAGTGACACTTGCCTTTACAAAAACAATAGTTGCACAGAGATGCTACATGATAAGTGAAAGAAAATCTTACATAATATGATAGCTAACTATGCAAGAACTCAATAGATGCCCAACAAAGCAGGAGTTTAAGTGGATTTTAGGCAGTCAAGTGCAATACACTCACACCTGACACCATTTTTAATAAGCTTTTATGGACTCTTCACACCAGCAGGTGCCGATCCCTACGGTCAGCTTTTTGACTACAGACAATGCAGTCTAACTAAAATAGCCCATTGTTTTTCAGTATAAGGATTGGATATGTCGCTGGTAAAGAAACTCCGCCCATGAGCAGACCAAAATAATCCCATATTCCTCCCGATCACAGTTTTCTTTCATCATTAACATATCTAATCTCTAAAAAAAAACATTAGAAAAATATAGCACTTTGGCCTAACTGCATCCCCTGCAGTCAAAATGCCAACTGTGGGAATCCATGATCAACAACAGCTGGACGTTCAGTGCAGACAATAAGTGCAAGAAATTATAAATGCAAGGGCCAAACCTGTAGATGCAAACATCTTTCCCCTCTTCAAATTTCTTTTTGCATGAGTAACAAAAGCTCAAAACATCGTCAGAGGGATAAGGGTTTGCCGATTCTTCTGATAATGTAGAAACCTTGTAGAATCTTATTGCAGGTTCTTCCTTCTGGCTGAACTGGGTTGAGTCAGTTTTGTAACATTCCAAAATACAATCACCAAAAATATGGGTTCGCTTTGGGTTTGGACCATGAGAAATAATACAAGTATAATCCTCAGAAAGCTCTATTTCTCTTGCAGAAAGCGACCCTAAATATCCATTACTAAAATCAATGGATATTGGAAGTGAACTTGGTTTGGCTTTCGAAGGACAATCCACCTGTGGACAAGGACCAGTTACAGGAGCTAAACTCGTTCCTGAAGATGAATTTTCTAAACAAAATTCATCAGTTCTCGAATTGGAAATTTGATTAAAGTCTCTTGAAGATGAGGAAGACTTAGTGGGAACTGGCAAAGACATCATAACATTCTTGAAAGCTTCAGATTCCTGCGGGAACACTCTATTCCTGGAGACATGATTGAAGTTTACAGGTTCAAATTTGGAATTTTTCATTTCAGAAATAACATAGTTCTTTGGCAAAGAATTAGATCTCGCATAAGATGGAAATGGTTCATAGCAATTCTTTGATGTTTTGTGAATGCCAGTCTTCACCTGTGATCCAAAAACTACGTTCTTCCTCTGAGACGTTTCGGGGATTTCACTGTCAAGCTTGGTTTCATCAGCAAGTGTATTTATGATGCCAAGGCCTATTTTACAGCATTCAAACTGCTTCTTTTGCCCACTTTGGGAAGATGGCTTAGAAGACTTGGCACTAAATGGGTTGCTAAGATTTGAAAAGAATCTGAAATCGAGGGGCGAAGTGGGGCTCCATGCTGATTCAGAATCTGATGACCCTTTAGCACAAAACCCCACCTTAGAACTAGAAAACTGGAAGAATGAGTTGCTTAAGTGCCTAAGGCTTAGTATATCACAATGGAAAGAGGAATCCGAAGAAGAATCAGCCATGAGACCACAAAACAACCAAATAAGTCTGTTTTCTCCTCCTCAGCATTATCTAAAGCCTGATTCTGCTTCAAAGGAAGAAACCATCATTTTCTTACTGCATCAAATTCAAAAAGCTAAAGAAAACAGCACAGTATTAGTTTAGTTCTCAATCAAGGAAAATCATGATCAGAACACAGAACCACAAGCAAACATTAAATTGCTCATTTTCAACGTATGCAGAACTAATTGGAATTGGAGCTTCCAAATTTTGGAAATGGTTAGCAGCAATGACTTTTTTACGCTAACAAATCTTTACCCAAAAAGAATATCAAAGAGAGTATCAATTTCCATTGAGCATAAGAATCTGTATTTCCATTGGAAGTCAAATTTACGATTGAGAATCTCATAAGAAGTTAATAGACTGACTGAAATAAGAGATTTCCAAAGGGCATGCTTAATGAACGAATAGTTCAAACACCCCAGATACTTAAGAGATCGGGCCAATATACTGGATTACAGATTGCATTAAAAATTTGACGACACCAGAAAACCAGCCATGGTTACACTTCGGAAAGTCCGAATCAACAAGTCAGTTTCTGCAGATGATACATACACCAACTCAGAGTCCGAAATGACTCCTATGAAGAATCCCGATATCAGATCATTCCTGCTCGCAGTCGCACAAGATCACTCTGCTCTCAACGGAGAAACTATTTAGTATATGCCCTCCCACATAAAATCTCACAAAGTAATCTTCTAGAAGGGTCTCTGATTTTAACCAATAAAACATTTTTGTTTTCAATCAGGTAAACTTCCGATGCATTCTTCAAAAAGAAATACAAAAAATTGAAGAGGAAGTTTCGAGAAACAAGAATTCCGATAATGCAACAGATAAGTCAGCATTCAGCGATCAAATAACACAGATAAAGAAAAATCGCAGTGAAGTGAAACCCCACCTGGTTTTCTTCCTCGGAATCCCCAGACAATTGAAATCCAAGAGAACCCAAAAGCAGGAGCTTAGCAAAATCGGGATTCGGCGAAGAGAGAAAAGCCAAAATTTTTGCTTAGCACATCGCTATCTTCACATTTGTCATCTTCGTTTATTAACAATCTCAGTACCCTCTTGCATGCATCAAAGTCAGAGACACAGTGAAGCACTGGGACTTCCAATGTACACTACACATACAAACACACGCTCTCTCTCTCTCTCTCTCTCTCTCTCACATCACTCTCATGATTGATTGCTAGAAATACGTAGAGTACAGAGTATACCGTATATTGTATGAAAATACGATAATTAAGCAACCTCTTTCGTGCAAACCACTCGCAGAGAAAGTGGAAATTCAATACGAACCTGAACTGAAGCGATGAAGAAGATTAAAAAACTGCTGGACAGTGGAAATAGTGCCACGTGACTGTGGGACCCAGAGCCATTTTCTTTGTGTGCGATCCATGGTGATGGATTGGATATACATGAGATGAGAATTAGTAATTTTTTATTTAAAAAATGAATTTTGTGGGTAATTAAAATTTGGGTGTTTTAACTTTTTGCCAGGAGAGTCAGGCCGTCAGCAAATGAGAGGAAAACGACAAAAGCACAAAGTGGAGCGGGGCTCCACAAAACTAACTGACCAACGTACACCGTTCATGTTGAACGCGACGTTTTTTGTGGACCCGCCCCCATAACGAAGTTCGGCGATAACGTGACGTCTATGGGTCACAAACGCCGTAACCTTTTTTTTTTTTTTAAAATGCTGGGTTGTGCTAACAGGGAAACAAATTTTTCTGAACTATTTTCTTGGAAATTAAAAAACTTTTTTTTATTAATCAACCATTAATTTTATCATTTTTATTAAAGTGATATATTTGTGGGGCCATAGGCAGGAACAAATAGAATTTTAACCATATTTCTTGATATTAATTTATCTCTAAATCTTTTTTTAAGAGCATTAAACATTTTAAAATATTTTTTAAAAAGGTTTGATATCTTAAAATTTTATTAAAATAATATTTAATAAATATTATTAAAATATTAAATATTTTTATATTTAATAATTTAAATATTATTATTGATAAAAATTCATCTAAAATTATAAATTTTCATACTCCTTCTATTAAAAAATATAAAACATTTTTTGAAGAGTTAGATATTCAAAAATGTAAGACATTTTTAGTATTTTGAGGTGTAATTATTTCATTTTTTCAAAAGTATCCCTATTGATAATAACTTTATATTCATTATAGGGTGTTTAATAAGGGTAAATATAAAAAAATAAGATTAATTAAAAAGTAGGTAACTACTTTTTTGGAAGTGAGATTTAATTAAAAATACCTTATATTTTTTAGCTGGAGGAGTATTTAATAATTTAAATATTACTATTCATAAATATTCATCTAAAACCATAAATTATTTTTTAAATATTAACATCTCAAACTAATTTTTAAAAATTTATAAATAATTTATAAATTTTTATATATCAATCATATTTTTAATATAAATTAAGTTTCTTAAACTTTTAGATCATTTTTTATAATTTTTTTGTCAATTAATGATTTTTCTCCAAAATATTACAACAACCAATTTAATATTTTAATATTTTGATATTTTATAACTTTATATTAAAAATAAAAGGAATCAACCTTAAAATTTTATATACATTTTTTATTTATCATTTTTCTAAAATAAAATTTAAACACCTTAAAATTAAAACCTTTTAAATTTTATCAAATGTAAAATATAATATTTTCATTAAAAAATATAAAATATTTTTAACCAAAAGAACACCCTAGCAATTTTTTAATCATTCTTAAATTGATAGCATCTTTTTTATGTTTATCTTTATTTAATAAAGGATTAATGTGCAAAATAAATCCTTAAATATAGCGCAAAAAGTGCCTTAGACCCTAAACTCTTAAAATATACAAAATGAATTATAAACTTTTAAATTAATAACAAATTAAACCTTACAACTAACTCACTATTAACGTCATTACTATTTACTCAATGGGGCCCATTCAAAATGTTGATGTCATAGTCCTTTGTTAATGTGTTATTTTTTAATCAGCACCACATACATTAAAATATTACGCAAGTAGCATCCTAATCGATTGATATTTCAAGTTTTTATATACTTTATAACTTTGATTTGGTTTTATTTTAAATCATGTTTATTTATTTAATGGTAAAAATTTAAGATCCCATTTGAAAAGAATTTTAAGTATCAAAAATTTTTACAAACAATAGATGTGAAAGCCAACAATTTTATCAATAGATTTCAAATTCAAATTAATCAATTAATTAAAATCTTAAACTTCTTTTTAAATAAGATTCCAAGTTTTTACTATTAAATAAATAAATATTATTTAAAATAAGACTAAATTAGAGTTATAAAGTATATGAAAGCTTGAGATACCAATCATTTAGAAAACATTGCAAGCAAGGAAGAAAATGTCATTTCATAAAATTATAGATCATTCACCGTGATGGACCACACTGAGTTTAATTTGGTCTATATAATAGTTAATGTTCTACACATAAATGGTGAGGATAATTTATTCTAAATTTAAAAGTTAAGGATATAGGATGTTACTTACACAATAGTTTAGGATTTGTGATACTAATTAAAAATGACATATCAATAAAGGACTACCACATTAGCATTTTGATTGGGCCCCACTAAGTGAACAGTAACAGCGTTAATAATGAGTTAACTATAAAGTTTAATTTTCTATAAATTTAAAAGCTTCAAGTCCATTTTGCACATTAACCCTTTTAATAAAGTGTTTTATTTAAAGATAAATGTTTGAATGATTTATATATTATGAATGTGTTTAAAATATCACATTAATTATACATTGAAAAACTAATTTTTTATATTTTTTTACATTTACCCTACAAAAATTCTTATATTTTTAAATGGGAAGAGAGTAAATAAAAATATTAAAGTATATTTTTTCTCTACATTTTTCTTCAACGAATACTAGGCAATATATATTAATAAGTGATGTATTTTTTAAATTATTTTTTAGAGGAACAAAAATCTCTCTCCATTAATGATACATTAACTCTGTCATTTTTTATTGGTGTGACATGTCTTGTGCCATTAATTTGCTTTTGAACTCTTTTTTTAGAAATGTCAGACACTCTGAAGTTCTATAAAAAAAAATTATAATAAATATTATTAAAATATTTAATAGTTATTAAGAACACGATCTTTTAAAAAAATAATAATTAAGTTTTTTAAATTTTTTAAGTCATTATCTATTATTTTTTTATTAACTAATGATTAAATTAATGAATAATTAGAATTGAAGCATCTATGTTCTTATTTGATATCTTCATATAATGCAATACGTTTTCAGTTTTCAGATATTATTGTTGTTGTTATTTACAAATTTTCACACAAAATTTATAAATCATCTATAAATATTTAAAAGGCTAGTTCAAGTTATTAATGTATAAAAATAATTTATAAATTTTTTATAAATATTTATAAATAATAATATTAAATATTAAATATTAAATATTAAATTTTTTTTATTATTTATTAAATTTTAATTTAATAAAATTTTAGGGTGTCAAGCACTCCTAAAAACAAAAGTTTAAAAATAAATTAATATTAAAAGAGATGTCACGCTTGCAAAAATGAATAGAGTTAACTGATTATTTATAAAGTAAGATTTTTACTCTTTTAAAAAATAATAATACAGTAAGAAGATGCTCAATTTATGAGTATAGAACGTCTAATACACTTAAAAGAACACTTAAAAGAACACAAGGAAGGTGGTCAAAAAAAAAATAGACGGAAAAAATGTCCGTTGACCTTAAATGAGAGGAGGAGGTAGAGCAATTTGCCTTTAAATTTTTACAGACGCCCGGTTTTGATGCATTTTAAATTCAGAATAAAAAAATGTAAATTAGAAGTTCCTCAACGAGATCCGAGGGGCCACTGTTGACGGCGTGAGGAAGTGAGGAATATCTTGAAGTTTATGATTTAGCGGGACCCACGTGGGTCCCACGTCATCTTACAAAAATGGAAGGTGTAATGATTATTGATTCCTCCCACCCTTATTCTGGTATTTACAAATCAATCCCTCACCTTTTTTTTTTTTGTTTGAGGCCGTGTTAGTATTTATTTAATTTTTGGACAAATTACACTCTTGAATTCCTTAAAAAAGTGAATTTCAATCAAGTCCTAAAATATTCAAAGAATAGGATCCCAAATCGATGGTCACTGAATGCCGTCATCGAATAATTATAACGCAGGAAAAAATTGCCCTATTTTTTATTCAAATCACTAGTAAATTTAAGAGATTGTGCGTTCAAATTTTAGCCAATCTGAAGATTTGAACACTGATACTAGTCAGTGTCGAAACTTAATTTATGAGCTGGTCAATGATCCGTGGTGACGCCTTTGACATAATTTTTCAAGTTCAAGATAAAGGCATTTTTTTCAGTTAATCTTAATTCAAAATATAAGTAATTTAATAAATATGCAAATTATTTTGGAAGAATTACAACAAAATTTTCAATAAAAAAATTAATTATTGATTGTTAATGTAATTTAGTTCAGTTGTCAATAAATTTTGTAATAATTAATTTTCTTATGTAGCATTTTAATGTAATTCTCCTAATTATTTTCTCATTTTATTTCATATATTTATTAATCTAAATTCTTGTATAAAATTAACTCTCATTGATTATGAGATACATTGATAATTAAGATTAAGAGTAAAAAAAATATTATATTATGAGAATGAGTATTTTATTTGTATGTGAATTTTTTTTAAACAGTGTTTATATTTTGGATTAGACGGAGTACCCAAGGCATGGACGGGAAAAATTTACTTTTATTTTCTTAAAAATCATGGATATTTTTATAATCATGTTTGAAAACTTATTTGCGTTTTAAGGAATTGGGATCTTATTATTATTTGTGAAATTTATGACTTTAAAATCCATTTGGTTTTCAAATTAAAATTTCCAAAAGAACTTTTGAAATGAAATTATCTAGATGTTATTTACTTTTATAATCTCTTTCAATAAATTTATTTAAAAAGTCCTTTTTAAATTTGATAAATCATTTACAGATGTGATGAAGTCTGTACTTATTTTTTAATTTGTCAAAAGTTTATTTATTAAAAATTTATTTAATAAAAATCAGTTTAGTAAAACTAATTGTTGTAATAAAATTTATATTTAAATATATTTTTTTAAATGTCAGTTTGATAAATTAAAAATTTTTTAAATTATGATAGTGAAATGTAATTTTAAATATATAATTATCAAAAAAGATATTAATTTATAATAATTTATAATTTTTATTAT